TGTAACACGTACAAGAGACTTCATATTATTACATCAAAATACTTAACCTCAAATATATTCTATATATCGAAATCTATAAAAATATATATATATATATATATATATATATATATATATATATATATATATATATATATATATATATATATATTATGAAAAAAGTTTTGTCTGCAACAATATAAAAAATTAAAATTATTAATATCAAACAAATCCCTCTTCTTCAAGAGTAAAACCAACTTCTGTACATCTATGACGTTGCCCAGAACCACCACAGACTCTACTCCAACTTTCAGTAACTAATGCTAATATTTCTGTTTTTTGTAAATTCCACTCCAATGAAAATTTGAACCCTCCATACATACCAGGCACAGCAAAATAAATATCATCAGAAAAATCTTTTGATAATAGAATAGAGATGTTGGGTAAAACAATATGTTTTTCTTTTATAAGAAAATCAGCACGCTGCATTATAACATCATGAAAGTTTTTTTGAATGTTTAATAATTTCTCAGAACTAAAAGAACAAATGTATTGAGGACGAATTATCTCCTTGTACTCCAGTGATGCTTCAGGATTTAGGTAGTCACAAGGCAGTTTATTGTTTTCATCACACAAGTATATCAATATGGAAAAACTTTTTATGATTCTTTCAATCACACTCATTGGTGCATTATAATAAACTGCATGATGAGCAAGTGTCCAAACCCTGGAAGGAAACTTGCTACAATTATCAAACCCAGTAGATAAAAACCAGAAACTAGAACTAAATGGCTCATATTTTTCTACACAATTAAACCATTCGCTTTCTGTCGAACATTTAGTCAATTTAGAAGTTTGGTTTACAAATTCAAGAAATGATTCATCTTCTATATCAATGTAACCAACAAATTGATTCATTTTTTGTTTTAAAAAAATAATAAAACGTGCTATAAATATAAAATGCTTAAGTAAAAATATATTAGTAAACATAATGACACTATATATGGTATATAATTTTTTAATAAATTACTAATAGCATTATTTTTCTGTAGATTACTATTTTACATAAAACACTATTAAATCAAATTAAAATTCATTTAAAAAATATTAATTGTAATACTATTAATAACAATAATAATATTAATAATAATAATAATAATAATAATAATAATAATAATAATAATAATAATAGTAATAATAATAATAATAATAACAATAGTATTACTACTATTAAAAGCGTTTTGTAAAATAAAATTAACTTCATTATAAAATAACAATAGATTTCGTGCTAACAAGATGTTATAATAAAAATAAAGATAACAATATATTTTGTGTTAACAAGATGTTACAACAAAACACAGGTCATTGCAAATAGTGATTCACTAATAAAGCGCAATAACCTAATAAGATAAAGGAAAAAATAATAATAAATAAATAAAAAGAAAAAGAAAAAAGTTAACCAAATAATAAAAGTAAGTTAAATATTAAAATTAAAGTTGAATAAGTTAACCACATAATAAAGTAGAATTTCATAAATATTTATTTAGTAACACCAATAAAACAGACTTTGTTAAATATATATATATATATAATGTAAAGGTAAAGAAAAAGGTAGAGGTAAAAAAGTAAAGAGTAAAGCGTAATTTTTAGGAAGAAATGATGGATTGACTTTAATAACAGATTCTTGAACCTAAGGATGGGATCTGATTTTTGGGTATTCAGAAGGGAGTTCCAAGATACACTGGTATTTAATAGAACTAATTCCATGTTTACTTGTCTGTTTTAGTGGGATAGTTAAATTGTTTTAAGTGACTGATCTTAGGTTATGCCCCAATGTTGTTCTATTAATAAAGTAGAAATATAATAGGAAGGATACCATGTTGTTGATGCCAGACCAATGAACAATTTAGGAACTGAATTAAGTCATAGAAGTGAAGAATTTCGGATGTAAGATATAGGATGTCAGTAAAAAAGTTTCTTTGACAGAAACAAATAATTTATACCACTCTATTTTGAAGTGAGACAACTCTAGAGAGATAGACGGTTTTAGATTGTCCCCAAACTTGGCATGCATTATATAAATGCAGCCCTCAAAATTAGGGTCAGCATTCAGCAATGCAAACCTAACTGCCACCCTAAAAGTGTTTGAGGATGGTTAAAAGTTGCCGACCTCATTTCCATGTTTTATGGTAAGACCTTTCTATCAAATTTTTTTGTCAACCTCTTAAAGATTGAGGTCAGGAAATTATTGCCAAGCTAATATTTCCAAATTCTCAAAAATTGAGTGATATATATAGATAATGTTTCAAAGTTAACGTAATGTCGAACTTTTGCTAACATGCCGTTAGAGTATGTGTTTTGAATAAAAGTTTTTCATCTAACACAACACCTAGATAAGTTATATTGCTAGACAAGGACAGTTTTTGACCACTTATTCTAAAGTTAACGAATTTAGGAATAATCTTTTAATGAGATTTTATTTGGTCTAAGCCATTGAACAAGACTGGCCATATCCTTATTAATAGTTTTGTTATGTTTGTTGAAAGAATTTGTTATTAATTGAAGGTTAGTATCATCAACAAAATGATACATACTTGAATGTTTAATACCTATTTTTGACTTAGATTTTGCTATATACGCAGGTAGTTGGTGGAAAGTGTATTATAATAAACAATTGAACATTAATAATATTTAGATGCATATCGTAATATAAAATAATATCGAATAATATATATAAAATATAAAAATATTTTAAAAATTCAAATTTTTAATAAAAAATTAATTATTTTTTTTTAAATCTAGATTTTGAATATATTAAAGGGTGTTACAGACGCCCTTCTAACGCTCCACATACATCTTTTACGTATCCTTATTCTCCATTTAAAGACCTTTCTTTTGATACCAAGTTTTATGAATTTTGATAATAATTGACAAAGTTATGACATTTAATTTTAAGAAAACCTCTAAATTTTGTAACAGTTTCATCAACAAGTCCATATATTAAAAATTAGATACTTAAAATGCTATAACTTTTCATAGAATTGTTCAATTTTAATAATTTTAATTAATAATTTTTACAAATAAAATACTGCAATGAAGCTCTTTCCAATGATATATAACAAACTAGTATTTGATTAATTTAAGAATGTCATGTCAAACCTAATATAGATAATAAAGAGAAGTGACCTAATATGGATCCCTGAGGAATACCAATAAAAACGTTTTTAATATATGAGCTGGTACCATTAAAAGTTACAAACTGCTGATGATTAGAAAGGTATGATTTAACCACTGCAAGGATATGCCGCGTATGCCATAATACTTAAGCTTTGATAGGAGAATGTCATTGCTGAATGCTGTTCTAAGGTTTCAAAGGCTTTTTGCAAATTAACAAAAACCCTACAAGCAAAGTCTCCATTATCAAAAGCAACTCTTATACTTTCTGTAATTTCTATAAGAGCGCGAACTATAGAACAATTTTTACAAAAACCATAAGATTTTTAATATTAGGTTGAAAAATACTTCTAATAAAATAAGACATTTCACTAAACTTATCAAGTTCTTCATTCAACTTTTTTTTTTAACTGACAAGTTTAGCGAAATTTAATTTCACTAAACCTGTCAAATTACTTCAAATATTATAAAAATTAAATTCAAATTTACGTTACAGTAAATGTAGAAAACCCGAATCATTTAAAATCACAAACAATCTGTAGAATTTGGACGTGGATGAGACAAGCCAAGGTC